GATATTAAGGAAATATAAGTTGATATTTTTTTATCATTTTATATTCGATAGATTATTGTTTCTCAAATCACTAAAAGAATTTATGTGGATCAATATAAAAATAATATTAATGAACTCCCACATGTTATTGATGTCATCACTAATGATCTTATATAATAATTACAATCAATAGTTTTAAGAATATCTAAAAGGAAAATATGACTTACTATTTTTTTATTATATAGCATATCTACAAAAAATCATATTATGATATAAGAATCAAAAGATCCCTTATTGTTTTCATAAGTTATGAAAAGAAATGATTCTATAAAATGGTATGATGTAATAAAATAATAATTAAAATCAACGGATAAAAATGATATCTAAGAACTTATCAAATTTTTCAATAATTATAAAATAGTCTATTATATAAATATGAGTCAAAAAGTAATATTTAATAATATAAAATATAGACTTATGGTTAAATATTTTACTCATAAAGAATGCACCGATTATAATAAGATATTTTTTCTAGTTTTTTAGATAAACTCATTAAGAATCATTATAATATTAGTGGTTTATTATGATTTTGAATTATATTATATGGATATGAAAATAAGTTTTCTAAATGAGGATATAAATTTATATGTATTAACCTACATGAATCGTAAAGAAAATTAAAAAAAATATAAAATTTAGTATATAAATTTAAGAAATCCATTTATGATCTTAAATAAGTCTCTAAATAATGATATATAAAGTTTCCTAATATCGTTACTTTCTTTAGAATTTAAGAAAATACTATTGATCTATATTTGTATTTGAAGGTTAGTAGAAATTAATTTATTATATTAGTTTATATGTAGATAATATTTTGCTTACTAGTAGTGATCTTAATTTATTATACCAAATAAATAAATTTCTCACTAAGAATTTTAAGGTAGTTAATATAAATAAGGTAGCTTATATTATTAGCATTGAGATATTTAGGAATAATTATCAAGATTCCTAAGATTGTTTCAAAAATAATATATTTAGTATATAGCTTTACTCAGCAAATGGTAGAATTAAAAATTTTAGTCAAAATAAGTATTCTTAAAATGACTTCAAAAATAATTTATAAAGAAAATATTCTTTATATATACGCAGTTAGAAGTTTATTATATGCTCAAGCCTATACTAGACCCGATATCAATTTTGTAGTCAGAATATTATATATATATATATATATTAAAAGACTAAAAAATATTAAAAGACTAAAAAATAATAATAAAATATATAAAAAGAGCGAAAGATTATATGTTTATATATATATATATATATATATATATATATATATATATATATATATTAGAGTTACTAAGGAATAAAATATTAAAAGACTAAAAAATAATAATAAAATATATAAAAAGGATGAAAGATTATATGCTTATATATATATATATATATATATATATATATATATATATATATAATTAGATCAAATTGAAATAATGATATTTTCAGATGTTAATTCTATAAATTA